ATGGGGACAGCCTGCTCCTGCGCCTTTAATATTTCTTTCTTGAAGGATGTCCAGCCTTCCTGGACACCTTTCCCCCCTCCAGGACTGCCTCCTAAGGGACTCCATCAACCAGGCCCCTAAACAGGCCAAAGTCTGCCCTCTGGAAATCCAAGGTAGCAGTTCTGCTGACCCCCCTCCTTACTTCTCCAAGAATCAAAAACTCTATCATCTTGTGATCACTATGCCCAAGACAGCTTCCAACCATCACATCACCCACAAGTCCTTCTCTGTTCACAAACAACAGGTCCAGTGGGGTGCCTTCCCTAGTTGGTTCCCTCACCAGCTGTGTCAGGAAGTTCTCTTCCACACACTCCACGAACCTCCTAGACTGTTTTCTCTGCTGTGTTGTATTTCCAGCAGACACCTGGTGAGTTGAAGCCCCCTGTGAGAACAAGGGCTAGTGATTATGAGACTTCTCCCAGCTGCTTATAGAATATTTCATCTGCCTCTTCATCCTGGTTGGGTGGTGTATAGCAGACTCCCACTATGATCCCTGCCTTGTTGGCCTTCCCCTTGATTCTTACCCATAAACACTCAACCCTATTGTCACCATCATTAAGCTCTAGACAATCAAAACACTCCCTAACATACAGCGCTATCCCACCACCTCTCTTCCTTGCCCATCTCTTCTGAAGAGTTTATAGCCATCCATTGCAGCACTCCATTTGTGCAAGTCATCCCACCATGTTTCCACGATGGCAACTATGTCATAAAGTTTGTGCTGCACAATGGCTTCCAGCTCCTCCTGTTTGTTGCCCATGCTGCGTGCATTGGTGTAGATGCACTTAAATTAGGCTATTGATCCTGTCACTTTTTTGAGGAGAGAAGCCCTAATTCCTACATAACCATTCTCAGGCACTTCCCTAGTTTGTAACATATCAATAACGCTTGCATCGTTGCTGCGGCATGGCTCTCCATCCCCTAGCTCCACTGAGATGGCAGACTGAACGACCTCGCTAGCACATCGTCCCTCAAACATTGGCATGCCGCCCACAGACTTATCTCTGGCAAGCCTGGTTTTCTCCCTTTCCCTCCTTCAAATCTAGATTATAGCTCTTCCAATGAGCCCTGCTAACTCCTGTGCAAAGATCCTTCTCCCCCTTTGAGACAGGCATAGCCCATCTGTCACCAGTAGGCCTGGTGTCGTGTAGACCAATCCATGATGAAGAAAATCAAAATTCTGCCAGTGACACCAGACTTGGAGCCAGCTATTGATCTGCTGGCTCTCCCTTTTTCTTCCCTCATCATTCCCTGCAACTGGAAGAATAGAGCAGAACACTACTTGTGCTCCTGATCCTTTAACCAGTCATCCCAAGGTCTTGAAGTCTCTCCTGTTTTCCCTCAGATTCCTTGTTGCAACTTCATCACTGCCTGCTTGAAAAATCAATAATGGATAATAACCTGAGGGCTGTAGCAGGCAGGAAGCTTTCTCTTCACATCTTTAACCCAGGGCCCAGGGAGGCAGCAGATTTCCCTAAGTAGATCCAGTCTGCATATTGGGCCTTCTGTTCCCTTCAGAATGGAGCCTCCTATGAAAATGATCCGTCTTTTTTTCTTTATGGAAGTAGTTTTGATGCAGGGCATAGACCAACAACCTCGACAACACCTCCATGCTAGATGAACCATCATCCTCATTATTGTTCGGTTCCACTTGCAGAGCCTCATACCTATTTTGCAAGGGCACCTGGGAAGGTGGGGCAGTCACAGAGGAGATGTGCCTGCTATGCCCAGCAGCAGCTTGTCACCATTGCCCTCTATCTCTTGAGTCATACGTCCTGTTGTTCTTCAGGACTCTGATCTCCACCATGTTCTGTTGTCCTGTTTATCTCCAGTCCCTGAGGTTTTCCTCTGGGACACCTCTTTCACTTTAGTCCATACAACTTTCATCACTCAGGCATCAAGGATTCCTTGCATACAGGCCATGAACCTTCCTCAGAATAACACTTTCTCAGTGACCAAAATCCTACTCAATCTACAAAAGGTGACATTAGGGCTCTTCTAGGTTCTCCCTTCCATTTCACCCATGTACCGTGTGATTGCGCCCAATAGGGTCTCAGTTCCTCATAACCCCAGAGTTACTCTCAGCCCATTCTCTCTGCCCTCCTACTGCATCTTGGTTGCACCCCACATTTCCTTAGTCCACTTCCCTTCTATATCCTCTGACAACCCCTCCACAAGAGGCTCAGGCTTTCTGTGTGCTGACCAGCCAGCCAGCAACCTAAATAATACAAAGAACTGATGAATCCACGCCACACTATTTTGCTCAGTGCAGTAAGTCTGTCTCCCCTGTGCTGTCCAGACTTTCTAGAAATGTAGAAGGACTAAATAGCACCAAGGACTTCACTGTTTTGTCAAATTTGTTTGGAATTGATCAAAGGGCTCTAAAGTTAATAGCAAGGAACTGACAAGACAGCACAACACACAGGGGAACAAAAGCATCTGAGTGAGGTCCCTTGATCAGGCCTTACATATGTCTACTATGTCTACCCTGGTGTGTTTACCTTAGATCAAGGCTGCTAGGTTCAGTAGAATCAAACGTCACAAACCTGAGTTTGTAATGTCTAACCTATACGCCTATATGGCAGTGCTCTCTGGAGACAAATGATATTCTCAAATGCAAGTTTTGAGAATGTGTGTGTGTTTTTTAGTAAAGTAAATGTCAACACTGGCAAAATTCTGAGGTTTCCATCTTAGGTGCCATATTTCTACAAAAACAAATACATAATGAAATGCAATACCTGTCCCACAGCAAGACACTCTGAATTCTCCAAGAAAAATGAATTTTGACAAAAGACTCCTCATTTTCACAGTCTTCCTCTGTCTCCGGAGAAATTTGGCAAAGCTTAGCCCAATTCCCTGAGATATCTGTTCATTCATGTAAAAAACCAAGCTGGAATGGTTTGCCAGCCAAGATACTACCTTCTGAGAAACCAAGGCTCTTTTATTTAAAATCCATGTGAGACAAAAGTTGTAGGGAGTTCAATTTCATCATCTCTGTCTCTTCTCATAGCAACCCTGATAAACTGGGCATGAATCCATAGCTGGGAATTGAATTCACACTTTACAGATGATCTGAACAACATACCCACGTTGCTTTCCTCTGGGAAGGTTTGTGCATTATTATCCTCCCATTACCCCAGAGCTGCACAGGCACACGCATCAGACATGCCTGCACCAGTGAATGGAGGTATCTGCAGTTCTCTCATGTGAAACGGTTTGTCCTCTATATGCTGAGTCCAGAACCATGTCGTGACTGCCAGGAAGAACAGAAGTCACTGTCTGGCCTTTCCCTCTGTTTGTAGGCCACTGGGAAGTCGCACAGATCCAGCCCAAGGACAGGATCAGGGAGGGCATCACGGAACTTCTCACCTCCGATGTGGAGGGACTATTTTTACCAGCATGACTCATGGCAACAACGCCCTGCAGACCTGAAAAGGCTTTCCCTCCACTGGCTGGACCCTCTAAGAACAGGCTCTTCTCTCCTGACATCAAACAGCAAGGAGGTGAGAACACAAGGTACAGTGCCCAAACCAGAGAAGAGCACTAATCTCTGACTGAAGGCATAAGCCAAGGGGCAAGCGAAGCTTTTGCACTTTTACCTCCAAGGTCTCTATGAAATCTTTCTGAAAGACAGGAGAGTTTCTTTATTATCAACTCCACATGGTGGAGAGAGAACTATTTTCTTACAGGAGATACACAGTGCATTGCAGGACGAAGTGGAAGGAGTGATGTGAAGAAGGGGTTCGAGATGGAGGGATGGCTGAAGAACCACTGGGAACCTTCCAAACCAGAACTCAAAGCTGAAAATCTCGGAGCTGAAAATCTCACAGCTCAGCAACTCTAAACACATCTTTTAGGAGAGCATTTCTCAAGCATAGGCAGAGTTTCAATGAATTTTTTATCATACTGACATTAATATAAAAAAGTGAAACTTTCAGATTCTAGAAAATATCCCATATGAGATTACAATAATTTTAAGACACACAAGATCAAATTTTTAAATCTCTTTTACATTTATAGCTTTCAGCATTTGAAAAGCCATTTCTAAGCATCTACTTAGAAAATAAGTGCAAATAAGTACTGCTATTGCAAAAGAGTTTTACAAACTATTTTGATGGGTTTAAGAACCTTTTAATCAATATACTCTTTTTTAATTATTTTTTGATATCCTACAACAACTGATTTATTTTATGGGCATTTATCTATGCTAAAGATATTTATTCAGCCAGTTGATCATATCCTTTCTTCCTTCTTCAATATAAGGTTTATCTTGAGGGTTGATATCTTCTCTTTTGCGATGTACAAACCCATGCGTCTGTCCAGGGTAAATTTTAACTTCATAAGCAACCTTACAGTTTTGCTTAAGCTTCTGCTCCAGTTGAGTGACCTGTAACATAGAATGTTCCATGCTGGCTGAGTACAGAGTTAACATGTTATGTATTTACAGTCCTCAAACTGTCCTGTTTTTTTACTTCTCTGGGAGATGGACACAGTGCAGCCTTGCCCTCGTTTTCTCTTCTATTAATTTTATACCCAAATGCATTTCTGTTTCTACACTTACTTTATTTAACTAGGCTTTTATGTCCAGTAAAATAACAGCATGTGACTGTATAAAACTGCAAAAAAGAATATGGGTTGCTGTAATAATGCCTGTAAAGGTAAAAACACCTAATGCTCAGTGTTGTGAGAAGGTTAGCATGTATTGATCACTGTACAAGTTACTGCTGATAGACCTCACACACACAAAAAAAATGGGGCAAGATTTTGAAGTAATTTGAAATTGAGAGAGGCAAGGCACTGATAAAAAATCAGCAGTTCAAAGCTACTGGCATTTTTGGCAAGAAAATTAAAGCCAACCCCACTCAATGAAAGCGTGTCTTCCTCTTTGATCCCCTTGGTAGATAACAGTCTTTCTCCAGTCATTCTCCACCTGGGCTCCCCAGGAAGGCTGTTGACAGAGTACCAGAAGGGAGAAGCTCTGCCAGACAGTGGGGGAAGGAAAAGGATAGTCATGGGATTTTTTAAGTCTCCTGCAACTAGTGATTCCACCAGTATAGGTGGGGACTTTCTGCTGATTTTATGCATCATCAGCATAATTAAAGAGGGTCTCCTATCTTAAACTTGACAGAAGTCTTCCTTTGGATTCTTGCTTTTTTCCTCCTGGGAGTTCTCATATACAAATCATCCATATTTTGCAACAGAAACAGAAAAGATTTTTCAGTGTTGTTGTAAAACTTTTTGATTTGGAGACAAACAACATAAATTTGTGTAGAACTACTGTAGGAGTTCATGAAAGAGGAAGAAAAGTGCAAATTAGTTTTCCATGTTCTCTTAAGCAAATATTAAATTACAAAACAAGTATGAAAAGTATTAAAAAAGACAAATATCTCTGATGGGAAACTCACCTTCTCCAATGGGATGATCTCATCTTTTTCAGCAAAAATGAAGAAAGTGGGATGAAGCAAACTGAATCTGTCCTCAAAGAACTTGATCACTCCTAGGCAAGAAGGAGGGCATATACCATGAGTAATGCCACTTAAAGTGGTTAAATCACTACCAAAGCTACACAGTCGAAATAAAATACGTTCTGATCAGTTAGAGTTGATCGGTTTGTAATGGAATTAAACACACTTTGCTTAAAAGTCCCTTTTGTTGTGAGAACTTCCTGTGATTTGGGATGTCATTAAAGACAGACCAGCTCTGTCTGAAGAAGTCAGGGAAGTACTGTTATGTTTGCCCTGTTCTTATAGTTTTCTTTGGGCATCTGCTTCTGACCACTCTCAGAGACAGGGTCGTGTGAAAGATGGGCACTTCAGAGCTGCTCACCTGTAGCCTGGCATGGCCATTTTTAAGATAATTGTAAATATTCGTAATTCCAGATACATGATTAGGATTTCGGTGTACATACATTTATACTGATATAAATTCATAACAAATTGATATTGTAGTTTTGACTATTCAAATATATTTTAATTTAAGTAACAGTAAAGCTAACTAGCTACCACCCTGGCCACTCTTTTCATTATTGAAATTATTACAATGGAAAAGTAAAAAATTAGCAAGTAACATTGTTTAATTGACTCAGCTGATCAGCAAATCAGTGCAGCAAAATAGTCCCCATAAACTTTCCCAAAAAATAGTTTCAACTTACTTTCACCTTGAATGAGTATAAATTGGTCTGGGTTATATAGAAGTACTGAGGTTTATAACAAAAATATTAAAGGTAGCATAAATGCATTAAGAATGGAAGTGTGAGAGTGCAAAGGTTAAAACACAGAGATATAAAATGGTTCATATTAGTAATGAGAGATCACTGCCAGCAGTGACATTGAGGAGTAAGTTGTTCAAGTCATGATCTGAAGGTCTGCATCCTGTGCAGCCCCCAGCCGAGATGACTCACCAGCAAAAGACCCTGCACTCTAACAGAAGGACAGCAAAAAGGTTGCAGCGTATCACTACTGCCATGTCTTTCCAACAGAGGGATAGAATACAGACAACTGTGTCAAACAGGTTTTCCAAACAATGAAAACCAGACAGTAGGCAGCAACCTGTCCTGACTTATGCAGACAGAGGTAAGCAAGATACTGTGGCAAAGATCCACCTCATAGTAACTGCGGGTTCCTAAAAGATATGAAAGATGTGACCAGAAACCATTTTGTCATTGCCAGCCAACAGGAACGTGAGCCATAGTGAGGCCTTGGCATTTGGTGCCCCTTGTACACTATGTCACACAGAAGAGATCCTGGCCATGCTGTTGAATACATAGATCTTGCTCGTTATGATTAAGTGCAAAAATGTAAGTGTGCAAAATCAAATTGCCTAAAGATTTTGTATAATAAAATCACCTTCTTCCATAAGATGTCTGATTTTTTTTACAGTAACACTCCTACAGAATAAGTTCCTGCACTGGTCATGTCCGCTCAGAACGTTAATAGGTATTTGAGACTTACCGTAGAGCGACACCCCTGTCTTCAAATGAGGATTTTTCAGCATCAGATGTTGTACTGCCGCTCCACCCCAGCAAAACCCAATGACACCAATCTTCTTTGCACCACATTGTTCCTTTAGATACTTCAGGACGACATCAACTTCTCTGAGACATGTAAATGAAAGTGAATTAAGGCTCTAGCTCTATTCTCCTGGCCTCCAAGGTGACTGCTGCTCAGAGAGTGACTGGGCATCGATCTGCTTGGGGGAAGTGGTGAGTGATTGCCTTTGCATCGTTCCTGGTTTATTCTCTTTCCTTCACTTATCAAACTGTCTTTATCTCAACCCATGAGTTTGCTTGCTTTGTTCCTTCTATTCTCTCCCCTGTCCCTCTTAGGGGGAGGGAGTGGCAGTATAGGTGCTTGGCTGCTGGCTGGGGTCAACCCACAACACTAGTTTACTATTTATTACTCATTTCTAAAATACAAGAGAAACTCTAGAGGAGGAGACAAAGGAGAAAAATCAGTCTTCCTAAATCACTGTTACTAGAACCTAAGGTGATTTTATAAACAGCAGTCCAATTAATTGCACAAATGACAATAGTTATCATATAGGCTAACACAATTAAAAGTTTGAGACACTCAGCCAGTCAAGAGCAACCTATTATCAGACCACAGGTAAACTATCTCTCATCAGGGAGACAAATTATTTATCAAATTGTGGAAGTAAATTCAAAACTGTTGCTCCAAAATTGGCAGTAACATTATGCAATCAAGCTACGTGTCAGATAAAAATGGGAAAAATAGAGCTAGAAGAATGGGAAAGCTTTGAGCTAGCTGAGATCTGATGGGAAACAAGACCCATATCCCCCAGTTAAATAGTGTTTGGTGACTATGTTTGCACCCTATCTAAAATCTGTGGAAGTTGTGCTGGTCTGTGGGAACAGAACCAAACTGAACTGGAAGGAGCAAACTGCTGCATTTTCTAGCCTTTGCCAGTTCTCTTTTTATTTTTTTTTTTAGTCATTCATCTCACTTCTACTCTCTGCACAGGTAAACAGTGGTCACTCTTATTCTTGTTCAAAGTTCTACTTGTCTCCAAAAAGCACCCCTCACATAACCATGAGCTTGACCCACGAGTTGCATGAAATTTCTGTTTGTGGACATCCAGCTGTATTTGACCCATTAATAATTTAGGATCTAATCCTGCATCTTTACTGAGGCAAAAGTTCCTGTAAGAGAAGGATGTCCACTCGCTGGACAAGGAACAATGGTTGTACTTGTCTATTTTGCCGGCATTTCGGGTTTTCAGCCAGTCATCGAAAGACGCCCAGTCATTAGAAAGTTTCCAAGCTTCTTGTCCCACAAAAAAATCTGGGCAGATGGCTCTGCAAGAAAAATCAAAACATTTCATGTCCATGAAATATTACTGAGAAAGGATTAAAGGGAGGTCTGTGTGTGCTATACAACAAATTCATTTTGTTGAATACGCATAGAATTTAATCTACATCAAAGCACTATACAAGCAACTCCCATTATTTTCCTATGTCTAATAAGGAGACTTAGCATAACTTTCAGATACATTTTGCCCTGTTAAAGTCCATTAATTAATTTGACAAATTGTTAACTGCAA